CACAGTCAATCATGCCCCCTCCTTCCTTCCCACGTCTCGACACCGGACTCAAGAATCTGGTTAGTTTTCTACTCCCTGACTGTAGCTCTGTGCCGGAGTTCTGAAGGCCAAACCCGCCCGCCAGTGCAGCTGTGAGCTGGTCTACCTTGTTGAGGCAGCACTGGGCGTGCATTGCCTGCAGGTCCATGTTCTCCTCTCTAGCGGCATCCAGCCACTTGCAAGTGCTCTTTGCATCATTGCTCAATTGGCAGTAGTGCCCTTGAAGCTCTGCAAGCGCTCAAGAGTTTGGCAAGAGATTGTGCTAGAGTTGTGTGCGCAAAGCATCACACTCTTGCTCCCTCTCCTCCAGACAAGCCTGGAGGCGCTTCTCTGCAGAGGCTGAGCCGCCCAACTGCGGCTGCTTGGATTCCTGCCTCACCTTGACCTCCATCTTGTCGTCCTGTTCGACTTTGACGCGAGGATCGCAAATGTTGATGTGCAGTTTGTGACTCCACAATTTTGAAGTTGAGATCTTCCTCAACTTTGACGCAAGGAATGTTGGCCTTTGCGCAAGGGCCACGACGCACCTCCACAATCTCAAAGTCAGGCACCATATCAACCTTGATGGGTTCAGCTCTTGACTCTGCACCGGGCGGCGAGCAGTGCTGGGCTGCCTGTCGCTTGCATTTGGCAAGCTGGCGCTCACGCTTGTCAAGCTCATGGTCCCGCTGATGTACGAGATGCTCAGCGCCAAGAACGCGGTTGTAGTCCGCCTCTCTATCTTCTAGAGCAATTTTCCGTGAGCCGAGGCTCGCCTCCAATTCCCTCGCTCGCTGGTCCAGAGCTTGAAAGTTGTTGGAGAGCTGCTGCTGCAAGCTGGTGGCGGCATTGAGCTCCTGAGTGCGCGTCGCAAGGTTTTGCTCCCAGTGTGCTTGATGCTGAGCAAAAGCGGCCTGCTGCTGAGCAAGCCTTTGCTCTGTGCCACAGAGTTGGTTGCGCTGCTGATCAAAGTAGAGCTGCTTTGCATTTAGCTCCTTCAGCTGCGTCTGTAGACTGCGGTCGAGCGCGCTCTCCTGGGTGTCTTTGTAGGCATTGAGCTCCTTTCGAAGCTTAGCCCACTTGTTCCTCTTGACTGCTTTAAGCTCCTTGACCAATGCTTTGTGCTCAGCCTGCGCTGCCTTTGCCCTTTTGTGCTTGGGCTTTGCTCAAGCTGAAGCTCTCTTGTTGCTTATCTCTTCTTTGAGCTTTTGGTGCTTTACTTTGCCGGAACATCTAAGGCCATACTGAGTGGGAAAAGCCTTTTGGATGCTGTGCAGATTGAGCCCTGACGCTCTACCTTGCTGACCAAGCTAAAGCTTTTGTGCATTCAAACTTGCCTGCTGTGTCTTTTGGGACCTGCTGAACTTTGGGTACCTTGCTCGCTCTGAAGGCCTGAGGCTCTCCTCAAAGCTTGGCTCCTTTGCCTTCCTGAAAGACAAGCTGAATGAGCTCACAAAGAGCTTAGCATCAATGCTTAGTATTGTCTGCCAGATTGTGCTTGCTTCCCGCAGTGCTTGAGCGTTTTGTTTGTTCAGCTATGTTAGGACTGTGCCACCCACACTGGGCATCAAAGGGCACTAGACTGGCCTTAG